AGTAGATCCTAAAATTTTTCTCTTTGTCTTTTCCCTCATGTGTATATCCTTTGGTAATTAAATTTAATGATTGAATGGTGAACTTTAGTGTATATGTGCTAGATCATCCTGCATACTAAAGCATTGGCCTTTTAACACAGAATCTTTATTATAGATGGTTTGAGAATTCACCAAGGGGCCAGATACATTTAGAGGAAAATGGACCTTGGAATTACAATTATTTTTTAAAACTCTACATGTGTATTTTTATACTTTTTTCTATTTTGGCATATGACTCAATAAAGAGAAACTTTTAAAAAACTCATTTAAAGAGTTTTACATATTATGAGATACTGTAATGGGAAAGGGTGAAACACAAATTCTACATCCTGATCTCCATTGTTTCTTTATTTACAGTGCTTCTCGTTTATAATTCTGTTGACAATCTGACATCACTGTCACTGAAACAGAATTTATATGGTCAGGAAGAAATGATACAACAAAGGAAAACTTTCCTGTAATTGCTTTAATACTGGCTGAAATGTTTGCACACCTGTTGACATTTATAGTCACCAGGATTATATAGAAAGTATGCCTAAGTAAATTATATATTCTAAAGTAAGTTATAGTTTAACCTTAATTAGGCAGCTAAGTTGTATAAAACCAAGTATTAATCTAAAAAAAAAGTTTACTCCTTCCTTAAGGAGGAGTTACAAATATGACTCTTGAAGTAGCCATGAGGCAGGCAGTGGAGGAAACTAATCCCAGCTTTGAGTCTAAGATCAGGCCCTCAGGAAATTTGGATATGTGTAGGGATGTTTATGGTTCAAGTTGAGCTTTTGCCAGGTTAACATATTTACTTTCAATCATAGGTTTATGCTTTCAAGAAACATTTATTGAGAAATACTATGTATCAGTTGATACTCTCTCCTTAAGGAATTTATAGTCTACTGAGGTCAAACAGTTGATTGCAATGTAATATAATAAATGATAGGGGAGAAGTATATGTGTATGTATAGACACACCCAGGTGAGGAACCTAACCCAGGGGGTGGAGTGGAGGGAAAGACAATGTTAGAGATGGTTACATGGAAGATGTGACCCCTGTACTCAGTTCTTAAGAATAGGGAGGAGTTGGGGAAAGAAGAGTATTGGTTCTTCTAGAACAGAGAGAACTGTGTGCAAAGGCCAGTAGGCGAAATGATGCATTAAGAGTACTTAAAATAGTTCTGGAAAGCTGGAGTGTAGTGTTCTAGGGGAAAGAGACCAGAGAGATGAGTAAGCAGCCTCCTGGTTTGAGTACTATACTAAGGAATTGGGACTTGACTGGGAGGAGCATTTGAAAGATTTTTAAGTATAGGAGAAGGGAGTTATATAATTAGATTTGAGCTTAAAGATCATCCTGGTTATGGAAAAAATGGAATTGGAAGACATATACCTCTGGCAGTGTAATGGTCAGATGTTGTCTTTTTTTTTTTTTGCTGAGGAAGATTCACCCTGAGCTAGCATCTCTTGCCAATATTCCTCTTTTTTTTTTTCTTGAGGAAGATTAGCCATGAGCTAACATCTGTGCCAGTCTTTCTGTGTTTTGTGTGTAGGCCACCACCACAGCATGGCTGACGAATGGTGTAGATCCATGCCCGGGATCCAAACCCATGAACCCAGGCCACCAAAGCAGAGCGTGCTGAACTTAACACTATACTACAAGGCCAGCCCAGATATTAAGTCTTGAATAAACTTAATTTTTAATGTATCGCTGGGTCTTTGGAAAGTAAAGGAAATCTTCAGGGCCCCCAAACAAACACCAATATTAAAATCCTAGAGGTGAGCAATAAACAAACCAGATTGCCGTAGGGAAAATTATCAAATCAGTCTGGAGATTCAGGAATTGGGTGTTCAGGAATAAACCCTGGGGTTGAGATAAAATGGGGAAGCTAGGTTTAAATGTGGTCCCAGTTGTGTGGCAGTCTCCCAGTCCCTGCATGCCTGACTCTCAGCAGAAGCAAATGCAGATCTTCCTCTCTGGAGGAAGGCATCCTCCATTTAGGCCTCCAGAATCTCACAGATTCACAAAAAATTACATATTAAATCAAATATCTAACATACAAAGAAAGAAACACTCATGAGAAAGAATCAGCAGAAATAACAAATAATAGGTCATTCAAGGACCTCAGATATTGAAATGATCAGACAATATAAAATATCTATGACATTTTCAAAGAAATAAAAGAATCACAAAATGAACAACAAAAAGAAATGATCACAAATGACCAGGCAAATGTGAAAAATAACTACATAGAACTTTTAGATATGAAAATAGTTGAAATCAAAATCTCAGGGTTAGTTTAATATATTAGATACATATGAAGAGAGTAAATTGGAAGCCAGATATGAAATAACTCTTCAGAAAGCAATATAGAGACAAAAGAAACAGAAAATGTAAAGCAAAGTTTAAAAGACACAGGGGTTGAATGAGAAAGATTGAAGTCTCAGAAGGAAAGAATAAAGAAAATAGAGGAAAGCCAAAATTCTTAAAAAATAAGAACTGAGAATTTTTGAGAACTAAGAAATGAACCTACAGACACAGGAAGCATATACCAAACAGGATAAGTAAATTCACACACAGTCATGTTGTAGACAAACTGCAAAACACCAAGAGAGAAGATCTTAAAGGACCAAAGATAAAAGACAAATCACCTACAAAGAAACCACAATCAATAAGAATAATAGATTTCACATTGCAGCAATGGAAGCTACAAGAGGAGGGTGTGATATCTTCAATGTGATAAGAGAAAACTATCAACCTAGAATTTTATGTCCAGAGAAACTGTCTTTCAAGAACGATGGTAAAATAAAATCATTTCAAATAAACAAAATAGAGTTTGCCTCCAACAGACTTTCACATAAGGAAATTCTGCTTTAGGAAGAAGGAAAATGGTACCAGAAGGGAGGTCTGAGATGCAAGAAGGAATGGTGAGCAAAGAAATTGGTAAGCATCTGAGTAAATCTAAACGAGTGCTACCTGTATAAAATAATGATGCTAATAATGTCTAATTTGTGAGGTAAAAAAAAAATGAAATATTGGTCAACTAAGAGAGTGGTTAAAATATTGATTTGTTGTTCTAAAAACAGATCTTTTATTAATTTTAAATTGTCATGCCTGTTAAAATTTCAAGGATAACTTTCCTAAAGTAAAGAGAATGCATAACTCCCAAACCAATAAAGAGGAAAAATGGAATTTAAAAAATTTTTTAATAAAAAACAATTCTCTGCCACTATTTAGCTTTGTGATCTCTGTCGTGTCAATAACGTCCATAAGCCTTAGTTTCCTCGTCTTTAGAATGTGGATGATAGTAGTACCTCCCTTATAGGGTTGTTGTGAAGATGTAATCAGATAATACATGCAAAAAAGCTTAGCACAAATCTACTACATAATAAGTATTCAATAAATATTAGACATTATTGCTATTAATAGTGATGTAGTTTTGGTGATGCTTTAAAGCCCTGCTAAACCTCCCTGCCAACATCTCACTCACCTTCTCTCCAGTGAGAGAGAATGCTCTACCCAGAGATAGCTCAAGTGTGTTGAACAGTTCTGATAACTCTGATGGGTCTTCCTTGTGTTAATCATAACTCCTTGCTGAGAACCTTCAGGATTCAATATTGCCTTTCAGTAAAAAGTTCAAAGCCTCAAGGCTTTCCACAGCCTGGTCCCAACCAACTTGATCTCATGCTTTCTGTTTAAATCCTTGAGTTAGATCTCTAAACATGTTTAAGGTCTCCTTCCTTGACACTTTTGCTTAGAATACTTTTTTGAAGAATGGGTAGAATTTGGATGATTTCCTTCATGTGGAAAACCCTCTCTCTCTGCCAAATTCACCCTATTCTTCAAACCCCAGTCCAAGTCCCATAAGAGTTCTTGACTACTCTAGCCCAAAAGTGATTTATAATTTGAAAAACTATCATCTAAACCAAACTTCCAATAGTCATTTATGCCTGTCTCTTCTACTACTTTTTCAACTGAGCTTTTATTTAAATTTTATATTATCACAGAACCCTCCTCAAGTTTGCATGGTCTTTCCAGCTAGATTTTCAGCTCCTTAAGACAGTAGCTATTTCTTATATTTCTTTGTATCCCCTCTAGCTCCTAGGGAAGGGAAACTAACGTTTAGTGCCTACTATATGCCAGGGACTATACTAAGTGCTTTCTTATATGTAATACCTCATTTATTCCTCCCAGCAAACTTATAAATATTAGTGTCCCCATTTTACAGATGAGGACATTGCCCTTGAGAAAGGTTAAGTAGCATACCCAAGGCACTTAACTAATCAGTGGCAGAGCTGGGTTTCTCCTACACCATCCATCAAAATAACTTGCAAATAATACATATCTTGGAGGAGTAAAAGGATCAAATGGTTTATACATTTTTCTTGACTTATTTGTATTCCACTCTGAAATTTAGAGTGTCATGGAAACAGATTTCAAGGAAGCCAAAATTCTCCTCAAAAATTAAAATTTGAGGGGGTGGGCCCAGTTGCATAGTGGTTAAGTTCACATGCTCTGCTTTGGTGACCTGGAGTTCACAGGTTCAGATCCCGGGTGTGGACAGATGCACCACACACCACTCATCAAGCCATGCTGTGGAGGCATCCCACATACAAAATAGAGGAAGATGGGCACACATGTTAGCTCAGGGCCAATCTTCTTCAGCAACGGATGTTAGCTCAGGGCCAAGCTTCCTCAAAAAAAATAATAAAAGTTAAAATTTGACATGCCAATTAACCAAGAGCTGAACCATAGGAATTCACAAAGAGTTTGAAGTCAGACAGAAAATCATATTTGGGGAAGTTTAAATTAAGGGAATTAAAGGGAGATTCTTTTCTCTTATCCTGTACTTCTTTTTGAGTTCATGTAATGTGACGTGAAATGAATCACGACAAAGTGGACCATTCTTAGGGTACTTGCTGTAAGTCTGTATCCGTTTCAGAACATTACTTCTCTTCTCTTTCCCCCTTTTCTAGGGTTACACATCTTTCTGGAATGACTGCATATCATCTGGCCTGCGAGGGGGCATCCTGATAGAGCTGGCCATGCGGGGTAGAATCTATCTGGAACCCCCCACCATGCGTAAGAAGCGATTACTAGACAGAAAGGTACAGCATCCTCTATGAACATCCTGTTAACTCATAAAAGGGCAGATACCAATAGTCCGTTTTGGAGGAATAGGAAGATTGAGTAGTGAGACAAGATAAATATCACTGGCTCAGCTGTCTCATTTTCTAACAGGTTTTTTTTTTTTCTTGTGTGAGGAAGATCAACCCTGAGCTAACACCCATGCCAATCCTCCTCTTTTTGCTGAGGAAGACTGGCCCTGGGCTAACACCCGTGCCCATCTTCCTCTACTTTATATGGGACACTGCCACAGCATGGCTTGACAAGCGGTGCATCGGTATGCGCCCGGGATCCGAACCCGGGCCGCCAGCAGCAGAGCGCGCGCACTGAACCACTACGCCATGGGGCCGGCCCCTGTCTAGCAGGTTTAATTATCCTATAGCAGAGGGAGAAATTCAAGTATCCACAGTCTAAATAGTTATAAGAAGTGCGTGATTTTGTCTTCCTGTTTTTGTGCAGAAAAATCACATTTAGAATGCTGTTGATTATTTCTCCCTCTGTATCTATACCTATAACATTATGAAATCTAGTATAATAGACGAGGAGGCAAATGTGGGTCAGGTGCAGTCTTTGCCTAACTCTGGTCTTCCTCAGATAACCATTCAGTTTCTCTCCTTTCATTTACTGGACGTCCTCTTCAACATAACAAGCTATACTCCTGTCTCCATTTTCTTACTACTCTTTCTTCCACTCACAACTTCACTGTCATACTCAGCACTCTACTAAAACTACATTCTTAGGTATCACCAGCTTCTTTTCAGTCTTCAATTTACTTTTCTCTTTTAACCTGTATGTGGCATTTAACACTTTTGACCACCTCCTCCTACTTGAACCTTTCTCCATTCTTGGCCTTTGTTATATTACATTTTCTTCCTTCTCTGGCTGTACCCTAATTTCCTTTACTTCTCGGTTCCTTAACATCTAGGTCTCAGTTTGTATCCCTTTGCATAACTTTCTATCGTTTTGGAGATATCACCTACCTTTACAGCTTCTTCTCTCACTTTCATGACAGTAACTCCAAAATTTCTAGGCCTGTCTTCTTTTTCCACCTCCATGAACATATTTAACTATTGGCTAGACATTTCAACTTGGCTATCTCATATCAGTTAAAACCAAACTTCATCAACTTTTCCCCAAAACTGGCTTCCTTTCCTGACTTTCCTACCTTTATTAACTGTTTCACAAATTGGTTTTCCAGACCTAGAGAGTTATTATTGAATATTTTCTCCATTATTATTTGTATACAGTTTGTCACTAGGGACCACTTCATATGTTATTTTTGTCTCTTCACTATCACCTCATACTAGATTTTGAGTTTCTTGAAGACAGGGACAGTATATTATGCTGCTTTGCGTTTCCCACAACAATAACATTCTCCTACAACATTCCTACAACATTTCCTACAACAATTAACCAATAATGTATATATGGCATATTGAAGGATTTTAATTTGAATGAAGTGAATGAACCAGGGTCCCTTGTTTCTTCTTTCTTTAAAGGTACTGCTAAGGTCAGACAGCCCAACAGGTGATGTTTTACTGGATGAAACTCTCAAACACATCAAAGCAACTGAACCCACAGAAACTGTCCAAACATGGATAGAGCTGCTAACTGGTAAGATGACTCACATGATTCAAAAATCCCACACTTTGGGCCGGCCCTGTGGCTTGGTGGTTAAGTGCGCGCGCTGCGATGCTGGTGGCCCGGGTTCGGATCCCGGGTGCGCATCGAGGCACCACTTCTCC